AGCCTTCTGGCTCTGCGACGGTGACCGGCTCTGCTGAGCCTTGCTAGGATGGGTCCAAGGAACAGAGCCAAAAGAAGCTAAAGTTTCACGTCTATACAGTATAACGTGTGCTCTGAGTGTCGTAGATCCGTCCCCCGAGCTCATGCTACTCGGCCTCGGGGGGTGGTGCCTTCAGCAACCTCCTCTTGCCGCAGTCTACCAGCAGACCCAGGGCCGCCAAAGCCTCGCGGGTGCGAAAGCAAGTTCTGAGACCGATAGGCTGTATCGGGTAAGCTTCCGGACCATACTTTTCCTGCAAAAGGTAGCCCTTTCCAGGCAAGGACTCTCCGGACAGTCTTTATGCGGACTCTAGCTACTGGATTGGCACATAGGTTGATTTCGAGTTTCAACAGGAGTGGGCTCCGGAATGATGTTAGGGCTGCTAGGGATCGAGATCAGCGCTTCCCTGATTTCGACGTCCATACAAGTGTACTCCAAGCAACATCATGGCCCAATAAGGCTTCCTCGCCATCGTCACTCTCGATGTCGGAGCCAGACACACCGTCGCTCTCCTAGACTTCCGAAATCGCAAAAGTCTGTGCAGATTGCTGCATGCGCAACTTGCGCGACAAGTGCCGATGCAACTGTCAAGCTTCCGTACGTACACAAATTACGCTACACTTCACAGGCAGGTCGGGCCAATGTTGTTGCACTGCCGATTTGACATGGTCAAGCCAATCCTCGCTCTCTTCCTCGCTGTCCTCTTCATCAAGATCCTGTCTGGCCCGTCACGGTGCACGACATCTGAACTTTCACACAATTTGGTCAACTCTGAATGCAGGGGTCCGGAGTATCGACACTAGAGGCTGCCCGTCCCGCGTCCTGAATCGCACCGGGAACGCGGAGAAGGGCACCCCTCGCCCAAAACCCCAAACCAAAGCCCTGAGAACCGGACCTCTTCTGAAGGGCTCACACGCACAAGAGCCTCTCCTGGTGGTCTGGAGTAGGGCATTTCAGGATTTTTTCCCTTTTGGATTTCGGCGTTTTTATGTTGGGACGATTGAATGCCCTCTGTGCTGATGCTGACATTGGTTTGGGTTCATGTGTTCTCTGCTTACTTTCGGTCAGCTTGTAAGACCTAAAACAGCACGGTGACGGAGCAGCTCTGGGTGGCGAGGGCGATGGCGATGGCTGTGTCTGCACCGACAGAGACAGAGATTTCGGACATATACATTTGACATTACTTTGAATTGTTTTTACTCTGGCTAGACATACATATGTATGCAAACATGTATGCATGCATGCATATATATATATATATGCACACGGTGAACTACATATTTCATACTAAATACAGTACTATACCATACACAAAGTAATACATCTACCTGTGTAAAAATCTATACACATTACTTTAAGTATATACTACATACCACACTATACAATCTAGGCTAGACTGCACAGCTATATGCTACATGTTGTTTCTATACGCTACCTGTTCCGTAGCTATAGGTTCTATCGTATGTAATTTATGTAGGAACGAAAAGGTGCTCTCAGGTATTGAAACTCTCCAGGAATGTGATTTACTTAGCTAGGGTCTACATTATTACATAGTGGCTTGTCGTTGCTTTACATTACATTACAGTACATTGCATTACACAGTTGTACATTACATTGTCGTGTACTTCAATACATTGCATTATAACATACTATATATCATGTCGTGCCACATTGCAGGCATATTACATTCATCTTGGATGCAATATATTTACATGACGTTATCGGTGAAATTCGGTGAAATTCAACTATATGTTTTATTGAGTGTTGTATCATGCTATATTATGTTATAGTTCGATATGTGTCCCTATGTCATTTCTGCCATGTTAAATTCCACGTGGTGCTGAAGGTCCCAATGGATTGTATTAACAGGTTTTGGATTACACATTTCGCTCTCATCTGTTCTAGCGCATTGAAGTTTTTACTACTGTTACAGTACGCTCACTTATGTTGTGTTTTAACGTGCCCTGCGGTATTAATTTTCGTCATATTGCACTAGATTATATTGTCATGGCACGCTATGCTATGATATGATGTGCTGCATGCGGGGGAAGCAGGATGCTCACAAACCTCCGAAGTGTTTCGGCCTTAGTGGCTTTAGCACTAATTTTAGTCTATATAAGGCCTGGAGAACAGGATGGATGGCACGGAAAGTTTTTCCTACGTCGCTTGGAGAGCTGGCCCGAACAATCCGAAAGCAAGTGAACATGCCCGTCCACAATAGTTTGGGCTAGTTTGGGTCCTGATTCTGGTTGAGGACATGGGCCAAATTTTGAGCTTCCGGATGATCACTCCAAGAGGTGGCGCTCCGAAGACCACGCAAAGAGAGCTAATGTACGAATTGTTATCTGCATAGGACGCAGATCCATCTCTACCTGGCGCATGAACCGCACCAGAGAAACGCCTGAAATCAAGAATAACTCCAGCAAAATCAACCTCATCAGCTTGAATTAAACCATTCTATATAGCCGTGGAAGCGACAGGAATCCACGCTGGAAAATCGCAGTCAACTGAAACAGAGGCTTACCCACATGGTTCCGAAGTTCGTGCTCAACGGCCACATGGCTCGCGCCCAGATCATAATATCATATCTATACCGAGCTGCGATCTGCCAGGCTCGCAATGGTGCGGTAGATGGGCGCTTCAATAGTCACGCCGCCAGCCGTCTCGAACTGTGCGGGGATCTCCTGCGAAGCGCAAATCCCCATCTTCGATTAAGTTGAACCCGACAGCTTCAACGTGTCGAGTCTTGGTTCCTGCGACCCCGATGTGGACAATGCCGAGTTCGCGGCTGCCCCAGAGCCCGCGCCCCAGAGCCCGCTAAGTACTCCTTTACCACATTTGCTTCCAACAAGGCTACTGGCATGAAAAAACGTCATTTTCGCTTCTTGTTTTTGAACATATCACTGTCCGTCTCGTCGACCGCAAGGCCCAGAGATTTGATCCGTTCGCGCTTCAGCTCCTCGCAGCCAGCACAATGGCCAGCACACTGCTGGTCCAAAGCTGCTGGAGTGCAGTTGTTTGTGCAGTCCATGCAAGCATGGCGGCAATTGGAAAACTCGAAACCCGACATGTTGGAACCCCATGTCAGTCATCATCTCATAAGCCCCAACACCCTCTGCCTCCGAACACTCTGCAGCCTCGAAACCTCTACGACCAGAATCATGAGAATAGCTAACAGTGGGACGAGCCCGACATCAAGGCCGAGCAGCTGCATCCGTGGATCCGGAGTCGACCAGAGCCCTGACCGCAAGCTCCTGCACGGGTCTGCTCAGAAGAGCAAGGGCCGACCTAGAGCAAGGATAGGGGACTATGTCAAAAAAGTGCAATGTTTCAGGGATTTAAGTACCTCTGTTACGGTTACAGTTGTCCTTATACTTATAGTGTCCGAACCTCGAACTTTGGAATTCACAAGAAAACGCTCGATGGTACTTGATTATCGGGCTTCCCCGGATGTTGCAGCTGTCCTGGCATCATATTCCAACAAGATCTCAGCTAGTGACGACCAACAAAACTTCTCGACCATCATCGGCCCGAGGTTCCCGATGCCTTGGGGCGACGTTTCAGCGACTCCCCAGAAAGAAGACTCGAGATAACTTCCGGATGTCTGCAACCCAAGCAAGTGCAAGGCTGACTCCCCGGAGTCCTTGTGAGCTCCATTCCGAGCAGGGTTGCGGAAACGCAGCTTCACCTAGTCCGTGCTTTGTGCGCGAAACGTCCGAACACAGCTGTCCCGAAACCCCACGTAGCCCGAAGATTTCGGAATATTCAAGGCACATGCAGGCAATGACTTCGGCTTCCCTTCCGGGGCAGGGCCGGCGTGCCCTGAAGCTTCCAGGGCCTTCAGCAATGAATTCTGGCCTTTTTGAGCTTGGGGTTTGTATACATCGCAGGGCTTGGGCTTCACGTCTTGCAGGGTTTCGGGCCCAACGCGCTTGCACTCGGACAGCGCCAAGCAAGGGTCAGGGCTTGGGGCTCGTGAATCTTCCTTGACGGTGTAAGCTGACAAGGTGCTGTGAGTTGGGGTGTGGAATCGCCAGGGCATGGTAATCGAACATCCGCACAGGGTGAAAGGCTTCTGTTCTCGACATTTGTTCTTCACAAAAAGTAAGTAATCGGCTACGGAAGAGTTTTTATGATCTCGCAGTAGAGCCTATGAAATGCTTCGCGCCAGAAGAAGCCTGCCTTAGACGAACTAATGGCAACGCTCAACGTTACCATGCAACTGCCAAGCTCCAATTGTCCCTTCAAGGTGCTTCAGCTCGCTGTCATCGTCACGGAGAATCCTTCTCTGACTGCAATCCACAATCCTTAGATATGGCAAACTGCCCATCTGCTTAGTTCTTCTACTGCGTAGTACTAGGCCTACTAGGCTTGCTAAGAAAGTGCAGCACCCTTCAAGAAGCGCCACGTCTCTCCATAACCCCTTTGCAGAGCAACTCAGCAATGCTCTGTCCTGTTTCCTGGTGCACAGAGACGGCTTTCTGAGTGAATCTCCATTAACACTATCACCACCACGAAATTGAAAAGTGTGGCAGATCAACACTCTGGAGCCAATAAGTCAGCCGAGGATCAGCCCCAAGGAGGCCAATGCGTCTGCACCAATCCTTATTGACACTGGGTTCAAAAGAGGGAAAAGCTTGATTGATGCTTCCATCATGTGCAGATTTCTTGGACAGGTAGCAGGATCCGATGTTCACTAGAAGTCACAGGCTAACGGGCAATGGCATTAAACCGAACGTGAAATTCACTCCACACCACGACGCTCGAAACCACCAGGCCGCACACGACAGGGACAGTGTGTTCTTTCGTCTTGGGGGTCATGCACAGCACGCAAAGCACTTTTCAGATTCGGAGCCATGGAACAAGCTGCAACAGTCTGCGCCTTGAGCTGTGAGGTACCAGTCTGTGTGCTTTCCGGCGAGTCTTCAATCTGGTTTCCCGGAATCGAATCAGCCCTCTCAAACTCCAAGCCCCCAACACCCTCAACGCCTCGTCTTGATCATCGAGCCGAGATTCACCGCTTCGTCCGTGCTGGCGGCGAAATCAAACTCCTTGTCCACGTCATCTTCCTGAGCTTCGCAATCGACTCTGGGAGCTTTCCCTAAGGGGCTACGAAAGACTGACCCCCGAGTCACGGAAACCTCGAATCCCTGCAGTTTTCTGGATTTTTTGACTTGTGCCGGAGGAGCTGCTGTACCAGCTCAATGGTGCAAGTATGCAACAAGCATTCGCTCGGAGTTCCACCGAGAAGAATCGAACTCCCTAGGCATTTAAGTTTGCGCAAAGCAGCCGCAGGCGTGGCCACTCCACCTGTAGCAGCAGTGGTCAAGTTTTGACCACAGCCCTTTTGCTCTGCATGTTCGTGCTGTCGACCCCGGGATTTCCGGAGTTGTGTGTTCAGATATTGGAACGTCGAAGCCTCGTTTGAAACATGAAGTCGCGTGTAAACACGCAAAAGGGCAATGCATGTACACATCAATTGAGCATACATCGCCCGACATATAAGAGTGGGGCATGCTAGATTAACATCCGTCTCATACATGATTTTGCCCACACGAATTTGGGCGCCACAGCTGCAAACAGCTACATAGCATCAGATAGGGTCAGGTACGACCAAACATCATACAACATATTTGTGTATGTATAGATGGATAAGTGTCTGCATACGAGTAGATGCTTGTATATATTGAGCCCGTATGTAATCTGCTAGTCCTACTAGCTGTATACAACATAATTATACAGCATGATACTTGCGACTTCTTCGGGTATTCCTCCCCTGCTTGCAAACAGTGCATTGGCTTTACCATCAAAGTGTCCCCCGATAGGCAAATCAGAACTTAGAACATCTAAGCGGCAAGCAAGAGCTCTGTGAAGCGGACAACCGCATCCTTCAGACTACACCTACACATGCACAGCAAAGCGCAACTGCAAAGCGATCTTGAGACCAAATGGCCAACTGCAGCACATCGCCCAAGAAAGCAGAATCCCCGAACTCAAACAGCAAAGCTCAAGGAGCTTTGGAGCTCGAAACTTCCAAACATCCTTTAAGGCACCTCCCCTGGCTTCGTAGTCCGCATCGGCAGGGTTCAACTCCACCACTGCCTCGCGGCCCAGCAGACGAACTTTTGCCTGACAGCAGCAGATCATGTGCTATCTGGCTCTCTATCTACTGCCTTTGCTGGTCCGGCTCTAGGACAAGTGCTTATCAGCCTGCCCTCCATCGCATGAAACTCTCATGATCACACACGTCAGAACTGCAAGCCTTTGTGCGTCTGTACGTTGACAGCCCCTCGCTGGCGATCTTACAAGACAGTAAGAGGGATCATGCCACTGCACCGTGCTTTGTGCTCTAGCTAAGCTTGATGCAAGGATGTCGGGGCCGTGATAACCCATGCCGGAGTCCCTGCGTCGGTAATCCACTAGATCTGCATCTCTGCAGAAGACACAATGTCGTCTAGGGAAGGTGGCTGCCGAGCGCCGGCCTTGTAGATGGGAACCTCAACCTCAGCTCCACAGCTCGTTGAGATTCACACTCGCTGCTACCGCTACTATGAGCTTTGCTTCGTAGCGCTCCGGCTGGGAGCGCAAGGTACTCGAAGGACGTCATAACAACGGGTGCAAACCTTCATAAAACCATCAGGCTGGTACCTCGGCGCCTTCGCCTATCTTCAGCATGATTCTTTCCGAATGAGCATGACCAAGGCAAATTGTGTTGGCTGCTTCCGTAACCCATGGTGGGTGGGGCCAGTGCTACATACACAGAGCTGGACCAATAGACAGAGAGGTCGGCTCGGCACCCGTAATCCTAATCTCCCCCTTGACGCATTCGGCCGATGCTGCATGCGACCATCCAAGCTCAGCATGAGTAGCCAACTTGTTGGCGGAGGTCTCCACGACAGTTCTTCCATGACCCCGCGCAAACGGCAGTCGGAGCTGGTCCTCAGCACAGGTGGGGATCGTGTTGATGCATTTTCGCATTTTCGCTCGCCGAACAGATGATATATGCACCGCACAGTCGCACTGTTACAAATCTACAGTTTTGCGGCTTCCGTGGACGGCGCTGGGGCTGGAGACCATCCTATACACCTTGTCAGAGCTGAAGACCGCAACAAAGGCTCGATTACAGCCTGGTTGAGATCGCAGTCGTTGGAGCCTGTGTCCACCATCGCCAGCACGGTGGCGCAGCGGGAGGAGTCTGCTGGGTGGCAGAACCTGGGGGACTCTGGGTCTGGCACCGAACGTGGCTACATTTTGCGTCGCTTCCCCTTCTTCGGCATCCGTATGGTACGGGCGGGCGCGAGTAAAGCTAGCACGAGCAGAGATAACGAAATTCCAACGCTACCTTCGAACACGAACACTATCTGCTTGCAGCACTCAAACTACTCCCAGGAAGGCGAGCCTTGCACGGATTCCGGGTCAAAACAAGACAAAACTGCAAAGAAGGACTGCCACATTGATTCTGGAGATGGCACTAGACAAACGAGAGGTCGTGTGTCCGGGTCACAGTTGGTATCTCCTGCTGCAGGAGTGCCTTGCAGTCTCTGTGGCTCTGGCAAGAGCTGGAGCAATACAGTTTCAAACTTTCCTGTGAAGCATCGAATCCTTTCAGTAACCCTTCTCCAGAACCCCAACTCTTCCTCTCCACTAGTCTCCACCAGGGGGCTCAACTTCAGCGTAAGTCAAGGAGTCGAGAGCCTTCCCGACAAATTGAATTGTGCTTTTAGTGAGTCAGACAGCAAAAGGACGGTCTCAAAGTTGGGCCTTCGAGAGCGGCAGCTGTGTCACATTGTCTGCCTGAAGTCGGAGCTGTTTACTTTTGGTTTCACCGGGGGTGTAGGTCGTCACAATCCCCCCCCCCCCTCCCCCCACGTAAAAGGCTGAGACATCCGCGGTTCGACAGAAATGCTGTGGTTCAGAAAATAGGAGGGGAAGAGATACTTGCGAGATCTCGCGAGGTTACCTGGCTACCCGGCTCGCGGTTGAGGTCTAGAGAGATCTAAAGTAGGGAGGCTGCTCGAATCCCCAAAATCGTAAGCTTCAACCTCGAATACGCAGGGGCAAGTTGTCGGCATGATTTTGAGGGCTTGCGGGATGCTCGGCGAGTTTGATTGCACGTTTCGTCACCTTGTGGCGCCCAAACAAACGGCAGGCCCGAAAGCCGACTGCACAAGTCTCCAAACACTACAGCCACTATATAGGGGCGTAAATGATTACGAATACTATTTTGGGGCTCCCTCAAATGATAAGCAAAGTATGATGTACCCCTATCTATAACTTCTATAACCACATCAATCAAAGGCAGAATGAAATCATCGCGTTCAAAGTCTGTTAAACGGGCGCTCAAGAGGATGCAACATCAATCCAAAGGCAAGCTCTTATCAGCCACACCTTTGCTAGCAGCATCAGCTCCTGGATCTCAGCCCCCGTCCCAGAATCGCTGTTCAAACTGGATGACCAATTACAACACTTCGCTTCCTCATCGCCCAAGTCAGCGAGCATTGCGGCGCGCCGTGCGCGGAAACCGCTGGCATGGCCTCGGCACTGCACCAGCAAAGCTCGGCAAAGCTCAAAATGCCAAACCTCAAGTTCTCCGAGTCATTGGCGATTCAGCCAAGACTCCACCAATCCGACTGCATTCGGCCAAGAAGCTCACGCGCCAGGCAAAAGCAGAGGCTGAGCGCTGGCTCTCGAAGCCTCGAAACCTGCAGCCAAGCAAAATGGCTACTGTAAGGGTTTAGCTCACATCACACAAATCCATATAGCTGGCTCTGCCTTATCCACAAGTTGGCCCCAAGAGAACAGCATCACTGCCGAGCAGACATCCTCCTGCTGCTGCTTGCTGTCCCAGAGGCTCGGCTATCCGCCATGGCCTGCAGGGTTTCGGCTGGGACCCTCTGATTGCGGCTGCCAGAGTCAGACTGCATGGTTTTGTCTGAGCATTGCCTTGCGCATTATGGCTCTCAATACAAGACTATAGCAGCATGATTCAGCGTAGATTTGATTAATGTTACTCATCATAGATTCGACTGAACTTGTATGCTGTTCGACTATCAGAAAAACTGGTGTGTTCTACCCGCATTCAGACACCATCATAGTCTGAGCTTCCATGTCCTGGAATTTCTCTGTTGTCTGTTGCCGTTCCACTGACAGCTCCTGGTCAGTAGGGCCGCATAGTTGTTTGTCCTTTTCGTCTTAGCAGTTGACATGCAACGGGCCCGTGGTCGTCGTAGTGTTCCTGGACGAAATATTTTCAGGCAAACTTGCGCAAACTTACGGCATCGGCCGGCAAACAGCCTAGTCGGCCCAACGACAAATAATAACGTGTCATCGGCTGAGGCTTACTTCCTCGATGCATTATGATGCATTCAACAGCCTTGAACGCTAAGCTTTCGATGGCCGTTCCAGAAACCAAAAGCTGAGAAGGGCCTGAGCAGCTTCGTCTCGGTCGGAGCCTCACGCTCGGGGGCTGCGCCGTTGTGCCACCTCGGTGCAAAACTGACAGCTGAGAAGCCTCAAACAGGCTCAAGGCCTCAGCAGCACCTACTGTAGCTCTCTGAAGACGATAGTCAATGCACTCCCTTGCATAAGCTCAGCACACCAACCAGTTGGCAACAAGGTCTTCTGCAGATGTCTCAGCACCACATTATATAAATTGAAGCCCGGCTGAGTCACCGGAGGTCACGTTCCACATCGTCGCGTTGGGCCACGCCAACGATGGAGGAGCGTGTGGGAGAGTAGAACAGGTAGGCGATCCAAGGACTGCCTGGGAGCCAACATGCATGGGTAGGATCTCTCCCAAAAAAGAGCACGAAGAACCAGATCTCATTGGGGCTCTCAGATTCCGGGGCCATCTGACCATTCCCTCAAAGACCTCGTGGATGTCTGCAAGGCACTTAGGCGGCTCAGCTTCGCATCGCAGGCTGCCGACTTCCAGTGAGAGCCTGAGCAACCACAGAAAAGGAGGTAAAGGTCGAAGCACCGAGGTCCCGGCATGGCGGCACAGGACTGGTGACGGTACTGGTGCCCATACGACGATTTAGGAACACCACAGCCCGCTTGGTGGAGAGAAATGAAGATGATGCTTCATGCACGGTGGAAGCCCCCCATTCGGTACACGGCCAGACACGGCCCCTGCAAAAAGGATGCTCGTCGCTGAACCGGCCTGCAGCGCGGCCGCTGCCACCCGTGCCGGCGGTCGGCTTTGCCCCTGGCAGGGGCTGTCTTTGTGCCCCCAGCAAGTTTCCAGGAAGAGCCACAAATGCCGCAAACATCCATGCTTATCCTCATGGCACGGGGATCCACACGTGTAGCAGAAGGCTCGAAGGCCAGGGAGTTCTTTGAGCCTTACACTTCCGCCGGTGCCTGTGTCTTGGGTGGCAAGAGTCATTGCTTGTCGTCGGCGGCAGCAGGACCACAAAAGCATGCCTGAACACGGGTGAGGATACCGGAGATTCGGAACTCAGGAGGCCCAGCTTTGCTGCAGCACTGTTGTCATCCTGATACTGATACATTCCCAAGAACCGGATGAAGAAAAAAGCTGGTTCTTAGACCAATGTGCCTAAAGATAGGAAGCCGCTCCGACCATAGACTTTCTCTCCCATGGCTCACATTCAAGCTTGGAGGTTCAGCGGCTTTAAAACCAGGTGCTTGAACAACCGGTACCGATAGCAAACATGACGACACACCTTTAGAGCTTACATCCTCTAAGCTCCTAGTTACACTTCCCGAACCCCTCCAAAAAGAATCAGCATGACAGATTGCGTTTAGGTAAGTGCCGGCGGAAGCTTTTGGCTTCTAGTAAGATCTATAGCTGTGCTACTAGCTGGAGCATGAAAAAACAGCACAGCTTTAGCGAGAAAGTGCAAGTCAGATTTAGCAACTCATGACCGCCATGCCGAGAAGGCAACAAAGCTGATAAGCCCGGATCGGAGACAGCAGCCGTTGTGGGGGGGGGGGGCAACATGGTTTTCGCAAACGGCCTCTTTGACTCTGAAAGTGGTGATTTCCAGGCTTCCGATGGGGCTATGCGGGATCCAAGCCCTGGTGGTCAAAGGCGGGACCGAACGGCCTGCATACAAAACTCTTGAGTTTGAAGCTTGCACCCCCTGATTTTCCAGCGGCACGGGCAGTCAGCTCTGGATGCTCTGGCCCGTGTGAAGCCGAATATAGCCTCTCCAGGGATTTCCGATTAAACGCCGAGATGCACCCTGTGTTCACTGATCTGTGAGCAATATGCAGGCTAAGCCATGCAGGCTGTATGACACTTTCCGAGGAAAATTGTTCGATTGCCTGGCAATCACATCTGGTGCCCTGCCCATGGCCTTTCATCGGCCGTGGCGTCGGCATTTCTATGCACGTCACGGTTTTGTCCTGGGAAATAAACTCACAAAGAAAGTCATAAAGAACGGGCACCAACAACGAGGCAGCAGAGATGCTGCGCTGTGTCCCCGTGATAACCTGATAGACTGTGGCGGCGTGTCAGGCCGTTGCGGGGCTTTGGCCCGGAAGCGAACATATAACGGAACAGGCAGCTTCTTATTGCGTCTTCACACATCTCTTGCTGCTTACTGCCTTGTGCATCGCAGTGTCCTTCTGGTTCTTCTCTGCCGCAACCTTCTCCAGCATTTGCTCCACGGACCATTCGGGGGCCTGGGCTTTCCCTCTTTTTCTGGGTTTGGGTGGTTCCTGACTGGTTGATGTGTCCCTCCCACGAGCTGGGGACAACCCTCGGGCCTAGTTGGGAGCGGCAACATGAACGAAAACCGCTTAGCATGCAGATTGCAGAGCATGGCAGCGGAAGAGGCACAACTAGTGTACGACAAGGTTTGGGGTCCTGGTTTGGCCAAACAGGTATGCAGCATGCAGTGTGGCAAATTGCAAGGCACCGCCTGACAGCTCCAGCTGAAGGTGGCATGGGACCACAATGTAGCATCACATCCTCATGTTTGTTATAATCCCTGTCAGGCTCCATGACTAGACACAGACACAGACATAGACCATTTTCCACCAACCAGGGCCCGGAGTTCGCCTGTATACACATCGCACGATGAGCAGAAGCATAGAGACTCAACTGCAAACCTCACGGTGCAGAGACACAATTCTCTTGTGGACAAGAGCCGGTGGCCCTGCACCCTGTGCCAAATCTCATCCCCACGGAGAGGCATCGGTCCAGAAAATTTTACACGCTGCATTAGGCAAGGCGCTACATGTCAATCTACCAATCGGTGGCAGTAACCTCTCTCCTTTTTTAAGAGCCATGCTTCAAGAGGTTTTTGGCTCCAGCATATCGCAAGCTTCAGGATTGAAGTTGAAGGCTCGTTGATCGCTCACGTTTGGACCCCCTGCATCTCGTGACAGGACTGAACGGAGCAGCAAGACTCAGGGACGCGGCCTGCTACTGCCAGCCAGTTCATTCCAATGCTGCGAAGTGGCTCTCGGATGCATTCCAAAGACAACGTGCGGAACCTTCAAACAGAGTAGCCATACTAAATAGTAAAAACTGTTGCACGATGCAAACAGCTTCATCCTACGGCCTGTGTGCTTGGTAGTTAGCTTCGTGCTTACCGGGCCATGCATGTCAAAATCAGCATGCAGGTAATCTCCCGTCCTGTCTTGGGTGTACCGGCGCAGGGCTCTTTCTACTGATGCTGAAGAACTTAGCCGTGCATACCTCGGTATTCTTCGCCGTGGCTCTTCTCCAAACCATTTACAAGTGTATTCTTGAGTCTCATGCAGATCAGACAAGGGCACGCTCCAAACTACCGAGACGTCCGGCCTTGCAAGCGGTCGGAACAACAGGCGGCAGTGCCACCAGCGCTAAAGCAATTTTCTCCGAAATGAGGATCTTGGTCATCTTCCTCGGAACATCCAATCTCAACTCCAAGGGCTCGTTTGGAGGCTGGCCATCGCGCGTTTTCTGGTGCACGTATGCGGGAAAGGTTTGTGCCTATCTGCAGAACGGAGAAGGGCTACAGGTGGATTCAAAAATGCCCAGCGACCCTCTTCTGCGATTCCCGGGGCCCCGGGCGCTTCGAAGCTTTCGCCCTTTAGGGACTCCAGAGCATCCTTCAGACCAGTTTTCGGCGAGGAGTTGAATTGAAGGAGGTTAAGAATTACAACAGGTTTGTTGGGAGCATCTTTTGCTATAGCCATGGAGGGAATATACCGCGGCACTAAGACCAAGCTCGTATACATATGTAGCTACATGTGACCATGCGCAAGTGTATAAGATTGGTGTCCTTCTAAGTTTTCTTTCCCACCCCAAACTTTACACATTAAATATTTTATCCGGCGAGATTTTGTGCGGTCTCAGGCTTCTGCTTCTAACAAAAAGCAAAAGTATTCGCAGGCTGGTCACGAACAGTTTTCAAAACACCACGAAAGTCACATGTCGAGAGCAAACTAGTAGCGCTGATACTACGACAAGGATCAGCAGGTAGGTGCATTGCCCTGAGAGCTAGCAAACGAAGACTGCGAGCCCTGGACTGAACCGGCAGTCTGTGCTTCACCACTGTCACTTTCGGATAGGTTGAACAGCTGGTCAGACAATAGTTACATTCATGCAATCCAGGAAAACTCCAGCAGCTCTGGCAGTCTAGCAGCACTGACCTGATCCTGAGAATCACGAATGGCCTGCATGGCTTCCATCGTCTCCTGCTCAAGCCCCTGTTCCTGCACGGTTGTGACAAACCCGCTGTTGGACAAACCCACACTATACAACGAAGACGACCACGACCACAACAGCAAGAACCACGACGACGACGACGACGACGAGGACGACGGCAACAACAACAACAACAACAACAACAACCACCCCCACCCCCACCCCCACCCCACTACCACCGCCACCGCCACCGCCACCGCCACAGCCCGTAGCCACAACAACACCAACACCAACACCAACACCAACAGCAACACCAACCCCAACAGCAACAGCAACACCAACAGCAACAGCACCAGCAACAGCAACGGCAACAGCAACAACAGCAACAACAACAACAGCAGCAGCAGGACTCCTGCTGCTGCTACTACTGCTGCAACTTCTGCTGCTGCTCCTGCTACTACTACTACTACTACTACTACTACTATTACTACTACTACTACTACTACTACTACTACTACTACTACTACTACACTACGACGACTACGACTACGACGACGAAAATGCTACTAATACGACTAGTACTACAGTATTAGTAGTAGTCCTACTACGATCACGTGCTGCCGCTGCTTCTACTGAGAGTCCTGCTGCTGCTGCTGCTGCTGCTGCTGCTGCTGCTGCTGCTGGCATGACCAATCACATCATCAACAACAACATCATCAACATCATCTTCATAATCATCACCATCATCCTAACCACCGTCATCAGCCTCACCCCAACATAATCACCATTACCATCGTCATGTTCTTCATCATCGCCACGACCACCGCATCAGCATCATCGTCATCATCATGTCCTTATCTTCTCACTTTCCGCTGCCATCATCATCGTGAGCATCACAACCGTTGTCACGATTTTCCTCAAGATCCTGCCCTACCCAAACGCACTCCCTCACCATCACAACCTCCACAACTGACAAAAAGGGTGAAGACAATGGTCATCATCGCTCTCTTCTAGCCTTCTTCTTTTTCTTCTCTTCATCGTCTGCATCTTGCTTGAAATGGTCAAAGAGCGACATCCGGGCCTCGGCAGCCCTCGCCACATCCCCGTCGGAGGGTAGCTGCAGGAGCCGTACGTAGGTAGACTGCCGGAGGATGTGTCTGCTTCGCTCTTCTCCTTGCCTAACTCGGTCTCTCCCTCCCTTCACCCCGCTCGTCTCGAGCACAGGCTTCATGGGGATAGGATCGCTTCACCCAAACAGAAGCTTCTTCAACTGCCGCAAGCCCTGAGCGCTTCATGATTAACTTGTCGAATGACTCCGCTGGTTAAATGAGCTCGGCTCCCAAACCCCTTCGACAACAGTCCTCGATCTCGGCTTCCTGTATAGTTGTATGTTTACGTCATTGATTTCCAAAAACCCACATAACATAGAAGGAAACGGCTACACACACGTAGGCCGCTATGCACTACCAAATGAACACCTGGTCCACTGATCTTATCTTTACCCATGAACCTGCCTAACCGCTACGTTCATGATTTTGTGCTGCCAGTACGCTGCAGTGCCAGTCTCCAACAATGATACTAGCTACGACTTCCTCCTCCTCCTCCTCCTTGTAGTACGCTGCGCTAGTCGTTGTATTGTGGCTACTAAGTTCAGCTAGCACCATTAAAATTGGAACTTGGGGCTTCCGTTCTCGGTGACCACCCATGCTACTGGTCACCACTGACTCTTCCGCCTGGGACTGCTCCTGTTATGCGAAAGCCTAATATAAACCAATATATAAGGCCAGCAAGTTTACCGTTCTCCCATCGGCTATCTCAGACCAGTACTGTCAGGGGGCCGTAGTGGCCCTAGTGCTAAACACCATGACCCACCTCGGCCGGTGAGAACGTCGGCGGAAGAATCGCGCCGTTCTCGAGAACGTGGCGAACCTGCCACGAGGCAAGCTGACCGTGCAGGGCTCTTGGAAAGACCGTTGTGGATTAGACCAGGTCAGAGTGTCTTTAACGAAAGTCGCTGCTTGACCATCCTGCGCCACGACTGAGACTTGAAGCGCTCCCACTCGATCCCTGAATCGCAGAATGCTACAGTAGGCTCCTTCCGTCCCGGTTTTGCCTCTGGAAGCTCAAACATCCAGAAAGGCTCTTTTTCCTGCTGCAGATGATCTGCTTGCATGTCAATCAAGCGCCAACACAGCAGCTGAGCTAGGATCTGACTGAGCATCATTGCTTTGAACATCAAGTCAAGCAATGGGCTAGATGGACATGCTCCTCCTAAGTTTATAAAGGATAGATCAGCCTGGTGTCTGATGCAAAGGCAAGCCCACAGCTTCCTCATGCCTGAGTGTCCGGTAGCTCAAACGGCCTGAAGAACCCTGCAAGCCCCATGTTCTCTCAGCCATTCAAAGCTAAAAGGCGCAGCCTCAATCTTGAACCCCTCACACTCCTGCACTCCCGCAATAAATTCCGATAAAGACGGCAAGGATAGAACTCCAGCTTTTCTCTCTCCACCGAAAGGGACCCGGTAGTCCTGCAGCTGGGCTCGCTTGGCCACGCGCTCCCGGAGAGCCTCGGCCTGGAGACCATACAGATCTTCGGAAGTCTTCGGGATGGCTCTTCAGGCTGAAAGGTTTGGGGACTGAGGTGTGGGGATTACTGTAGTGATGATGGCCGCAATTCGGAAAATCCACATGGTCAAGTAAGATGATCGAGTCTGTGATGCCACTTCTTTGAGTCTGTGATGCCACTTTTTTGAGGTGTCGGTATCAGGCTGGTTGGAAAAAGACAAGTGACTAGTGACCAACAGGCCTGCATTCTGCAACGTCTCCGGGAAAGCTTACATAGCAAACCATCACAAGAATGCTGAGCGATGCTTCAGTCCGAAGGGCAGTGTTTTGCTGAAAGGTCCAGTCAGGGAAGGTCAACTCAGTGTTTGTTTTCTTGCTAAAGGCTTCGTTCATGCTTGCTCAAGAAGAAGTAGCAAGTGCAGTACAGGGGGGGGGGGTTCGGCTACTCTTACGGCCACCCGATTGGCCTGGGCAACGGCTTTCTCCGCTGCCTGGGCCTCGTAGTCGCGAGGGAAAACACAGGAAATCGTTGATAGAAACATGTACACTGTCGCTGCACCTTGTACCGGTTTCGAGCTGATTTTGCGCAAAATGAAGCACCCATGTCAACATGCTCTGGGCCGTACTTAGTCTGCTCGGCATTGGAGGTCTCTCAGCTTTGCAAGTGCTCCCCTGGCCTGCCGGCACTGTGCCAACCACGTGCCCCGCTCGGTGTCCGAACCCAAGCGCCACCTTTCCTGTTGGAGAGGAATCATTTTCATTGGGTCGTCCTCAAGACACGGTACCTCTTGGGCTCATTTTCGCATTTAACTCCCAAGTGTGGCATTTAGGGGGACGCTGATAAGAACAGCCCCAACATTGGGTGAGCTTTGGGCATGTGAGCGCACAATGACATAACGACTTGTTCCATCGCCTGAGGACAGGATTGACACCAGCAACTGTTTTGTGGTTCGTCGCCGTACATTGCTTTAGCCTCTGCCACCTGGTTTCCCACAGCTGCACTTTTCCGAACAAGGTCGAAGACACCGTGATGTAAAGAAACGCATATCTCGAGCCATGTCGTGAAGCTTTTCTGACTGCTTTCTGACCTTGAGCTAGACCCTGAAGCCCTGCAGGCGCAAAGCCCCCTACAAAATCGGACCCTATGAATTACTATAAATCCGATAAAGCCTCAGCCCGACAACCCTGAAGCCAACATCCTCCAGGCCTCTGCGCGGGCGCAGAGTTGCCAGGCAAGCTCAGCCTGCAGTGCTTCACAATTTACCCCCCAATTTAGGCTCTCTCCCTCAGTCCCTCTCAGTCCCTCTCATGAAAATCGCACTGCTTGTCGGTGCGACCTAGCTAGTCTCACACTGTCCACCTTGACAGACCAGTCCGGGGTGTCGCCCAGCGTTGGGAGCCACCCGCGTTCGCGGATTGCCTCGCATTGGCTCCTAAGCCTTTTGAATGACATGTGCCGAAGATTCGACTCTCGAGACACTAGAAAAATGCTCGACTAAAAGCTCATCCAACTCCTAACCATGGACCCTCAACCCGAAAAAATGACAGACATAAGTACAGCGTAAATGAAATGATCGTGAATAGTATTCAGCAATAACACTACAATACTCACAATATCAATACTCACAATACAGAGAGAACGGTCAGGAAGGAAACACAAGTTGGAGGTAGCAAGGGTCAAGTTTC